AAGCAGGGGCTCCAGCTGGGACTTGGCAGGGCAGAGTGATTGCTTCTGATCTCCCAAGAGGTCCATCTACAGAAGCTGGGAGCAGCCCAGGCTGTAACATAGTATTCAAGAAACTCACTTGCTTTTCTCTCCCTAGTTTGATGTCAGAATCTTCCTGGCATAAAACACGTGGGGGATTTCTCTCTGGACTCTACTCTGTGGGACTCCAGAACCTTCTCCAATGGAACCTAAAATGTATCACTTTAACTTCCCTTCCTCCTAAGCCTGTAACTTTCCTATTGGAGACTTCCTTCTACTCCATCTTCTAACCCCCATCACCCACACTACCCACACCACCCACAGCACCACATCACCCACACCACCATGCCACCCACAACACCCACAACACCCATACCACCCACAACACCCACACCACCCACAACACCCACACCACTCACACCACCACATCACCCACAACACCCACAACACCACACCACCCACAGCACCACATCACCCACAACACCCACAACACCATGCCACCCACAACACCCACATCACCCACACCACCCACATCACCCACACCACCCATACCACCTACATCACCCACACTACCCATACCACCTACATCACCCACACCACTCACACCACCACATCACCCACAACACCCACAACACCATGCCACCCACAGCACCACATCACCCACAACACCCACAACACCATGCCACCCACAACACCCATACCACCCACAACACCCACACCACCCACATCACCCACACCACCCATACCACCTACATCACCCACACCACCCACACCACCCACAACACCCACACCACTCACACCACCACATCACCCACAACACCCACAACACCATGCCACCCACAACACCCACAACACCCATACCACCCACAACACCCACACCACCCACATCACCCACACCACCCATACCACCTACATCACCCACAACACCCACATCACCCACAACACCCCTGCCATTGCCATCTCTTCTTGGACTTAAAACCCTTACAGTGACCCTAATGTTCTCCCTATGCTAACATCAGGGATATCAGAAGGAATTCCATTTTTGATTTAGTGACTGCTAGCTCTTCCTTTATTGTGCCTCCCAGTGACAGTGGCCATTTGTAAATAGTACCTACGTCAGGAGTGTGGATGTCTAACATTAGCCATCAGGGTCTTAGAATCCTGAGGACTCTCATTTCCTCTTCCTGCAATCATGGCCTCTGTGAGGCTGTGTTTGTCTGCTTTCATGGGCCATGCAATCCTTTATGGCAGGGATGGATGGTATCTTATACCCCGTCAATTCTTCTTAAGACCTGATCAGCCATCTCAGTGACTTTAAACTACTGGATGAAAATGGCAAGGACCATGATATAGGACAAGGCTATTGAGGGAAACTTTCATCTTTGTTAACCCATAAAAGCAAAGCATAAAATTAAACTCCTTGCTGAACAGGTTCTTGAAGTTTCGAAGCATTGTGTTATCCCCAGAGGGTCAGAGTCAGCTGGCCCAGCCCTGCAAGAACCTAAGACTTCAAAGTACACAAGATGATTCCAGTGCAGAAACATGTCCCCCTTTGCATAAACTACCATGTCTTCCCAGCCTGCTTTCTCTGCTGTCAAACGGGGTTGTTGAGAGGAACAAAGCCGGCCAAAGGCAGGAAAGCTCACAGAAGCAGTCCTGATGAAGCACGCCACATTGTCTGCATTAGAGTCAGTCCCTGAAGGAAGTTTCCAGTTCTTTTTGCCTCTTCCTATTCATCATTTGAGCAGGTGGGGCTTATGGGCCTAGCACTAAATCAGATAGTTTACATTTACACTGGAGACTTTATTCTCAACTGAGGTCAAAGGGTGCCAAGAAGTTAGCAATGGCCTTCCTGGGACCTGGGCACAGGCCTATGGGGTCTTTCCCTTCTGATGGAGGAAGCAGTCTGTCTAGTTTTATATCTACTTAGCTTGCTGCACACAGATATGGACAATAGTCGATGCTTTCTCTCTCAGGAAACGCTTGCTCACTGCCATTAATTCAGAAGGCACTTCCTGTGTGCAAGCCCACTTTAACTGACACTAACGCAGAATGGGAGTTTGGGGATCCATGACTTCCACAATGGCTTTGGTTGAATGATCTTTGTCAACTTCCTCATAGGCTCAAATTCACTTCATTCATGTAACAAAGGACCACGGAAAAGGAGGGAGAAAATACCTTTCAAAAGGTTTCACCTATACATTGCAGGTTATCCGTTCATGTTTATTGAACTAAACTTTGATGAGTGCCAGGTAATGTTGACACAGATGAATTAGACATTGATGTCTCCCTGGAAGAGTTTCCAGGATGATTATATAGGTATGGCAAGTAACTACAGCACTGTTCTCTGACTGAGGGTTGGTGTTACTACTGAAAACACAAAGAATCAGGCTATGAAGCACTTATTTCAGGGAGGGAGCAGAGGAATCCCTGTGTGAGTGAAGTCTTGAGTGTTTGTATGATGTTGGCATGTACACCACCATGTCAAGGGTCCCAGAGCCTAAGACCCATAGAGAAGATGGCAAAGCCTCCTTCCCAAGGGCGAGGCCCAGGGGGAAATGGCAAGGCCTTCCCTTCTGATTGGTGTGTGGATGTTGACAGAGTATAGAAAATATCCACCCACAGCTAAGACATTTATCCCCTAAAGACTGCTCCTACCAACACTGGCTATGCCTGTCTTTTTGATCCAGCTGTACATCATAAACCCTGCCTTCTTGTTTATCTGTACATTATAACCCAGCCTCTCTGGTCACTTCTGGATAATAAACATGCTGAGCTTCTAAAGTACTTAGGTTTTTTTCCAGTCACGAACTGAGACTACCCAGTCCCAGCTTTCTGTCTGTCTATATGTCTGTCTGTGTTTTTCTTATCTTTATTCCCTTGTTGTCCCAGTCAGGTGCAAGTCCTCAGATGCTATGCATAGACTTGGGAACTCATAATTCACTAATTTCTTCCCATGTACCATTCGACTCACCCTCACAGTACTGTATGAGATGCTATTATTATCCTCATCAGCATGTCATGAGGCTTCAAGTTGCTCAAGGTCTCACTGTGAGTTCACGTCAAAGGGTCAAAGATAGGGTCTAGCTTCAAAGGCTGTCAAACTTCAGTGCCGCATGTCTTAACCACACCCACCACTCAGAGGCTCCCTGAGGAGCACATGCTCATACCTGATTAGGCCAACACAGCAGTGACATGCAGAATTATCAAGTGCCTGCAATGTGCTATGTGTTTCATACCTAGCTGTCTCTCTTCTTCTGAGAATACCCATGGCGAGCTTTGTTTTCTTCCCTTCTTACAGCTGAACAGAAGCCTTGTGTTGAATGGCTACACTGCCTTGCTGCAGACCAGAAGTTAAACGTGAAGTGTCTCCTAGAAAGAACTTACCCTGACCCACTCCAAATTCCTGTATTCTGAGTTTGAAATCACCCCCAAGGGCAAACTAGATCACTGAGGCCAGTGGTTCTCAACCTCCCTAATGCTGTGACCCTTTAATACAGTGCCTCATGTCTCGGTGACCTCCCTCCAAACACAAAATTATTTTTGTTGCTACTTCATAACTGTAATTTTGCTACTATTATAAATCATAATGTAGACATCTGATGTGCAGGATATCTGATATGTGATCCCTGTGAAAGTCATGACCCACAGGTTAAGAACCACTGACTTAGGCCCTTTTTTCCCCCCAAACTGCCCCTTACTAGGAATGGCCACTATACTGGCCATGGGTTGAAGGAGGTTTTGTGGTGATCTCAGTACTAGATGGCCTGGCTCTTTCTGCCAGCAGTTTGTGTAAAGTTTCTCATCATGATAGACTAGATGTAGGGGGTAGGGAGTATAGACTTGTGGGAGTGTCTGTTTACATTCTCATGCTCTGCCTTGCTTTACAATTCCTCTGTGATATTCTCTCCTAGACATACCAGCACACTTCTTCAATGCTCAGTTAAATACTTCTGTACAGTAGAGAGCTCATAACGTCTTAAAAATGGTTCTGAGGTTTTTCAAGGCATGGTCTTATTTTAAATCTTATTTTCTAAAGCCCCACTCAGGGGAATATCTGCTTTCTTTCACTGACTATTTAAATCATTCCCTTGTGTCTCTGAAAGCGGCACAAAGGACATTCGCTCTTTCTCTTCATCATATACAATAGTGCCTTTGACAGAACTTATAAATTCCAAGCTGCAGCCCTGGGCTTGCTTGCTTTCCAGTGACAGGCTTCTGCAGTCTCTCTATTTCATGCAACCAAACTAAAGCAACCCCAAATTAGTGTCCAGTGATGATCAGTCATGTCTTTCAATATTCTCTCTCTCTCTCTCTCTCTCTCTCTCTCTCTCTCTCTCTCTCTCTCTCTCTCTGAATTTTAGTAAAATTGTAGAATTCCTGCACTAACTTACTTTCTGTATTTTTCTATGCCATCAGGTCATGAGTTACTGAGGGTCAGTTCCCTTGAACTGGCCTCTTTCCTGGTATTGTGGCTTTATATTTGTACAGAAGGCCGCTCAGGACCAAATTCATGCTTCAGTGATATGGCTGGGGTGGGGGGGTGGGGGTGCAGGAGGATGCCGTAGTGAAGCACAGAATTTGTCTGTCCTAGCTCTCCATTTCGGACTGCTCAACCCAGCTTTCCAGCTTCACCTAAATGACAAATAGCCCTATTGTTTGAGCTTTAGAATTTGAAGGAAAAAAAATAGAACTAAATCTAGATTAAGCTCAGGACAGAGACCCATTTCATTGCACTGTACTTTAATATTCCTGAGATCCGTGGCACTACGGGTAGCTCCTTTGAACAGCCATCCCCTCCAGGGCAGAACACTATGCTGTCTTTGTTTAATCTGATCTTTCAGTTAAATAGGAGATGGTCACTTATCCTCACCACTCCCGTGTCCGGCTGCATTGCTATTACTGAGAGACGGACACGCTGGGAAAGGTAGGAGCTTCAGGCAGAACATTTCAGCGTGTGTTTACAGGCAGGACTGACTTACTCAGCAATCCTGCACGGAGGAGCTTCAGCCAATGAAGAGGCTCTATCCCAGCTTGCTTGGGGGCTTCTGAGTTTGAGCTGCCTGCAGAAATGTAAGGCATTGCTTCCTGGCGCTGATGGCAAAATGGGACCCATCTCCAGTTATTCCTTGGGCTCCCCAGCTCTGCAGATCTGGGAGAGAACCTACATAAACATATTGGTGATGTAGCCAGCTTTCAAGGCCGAGAGAATCCTTATGGATTCGGGAGACTGGTTTTTCATTTAGAATTTTCTTTTTCCTTTGGAAGATGAAATGCTTCTCTCGTTACCTGCCTTACATCTTCAGACCTCCAAACACCATCCTCTCTTCCAGCTGCCACACGGAAGGTACAGACCAGAGAGGGAGAGTGTCTGGGTGGGTGGGACAAAGTGGGCTGGTGTCTGACTTCCCACAGGTTCTGCTGACGCTGCTTTCTGCAGCTTACTATCGTTCGTTCCTGGGAAAGCTTGTATCTGACATATAGATCTGCTTCGAAAATCAGCCTGCCTCCTCCAAGGCAAGGGAAGTATTTTCTGAGGAGCAGGATAATGTAGCGAAGGTGATCTCAAAGCGGGCGGCCGATCTGACAATCCATTCAGGAATATTTTGTCAATTTCCCTCGTCTCATTTACCGGTGCAAACAAGTCGTTGGAACTAGTGCTGAGGAAAAACAGGCAGTGGATGCTGCCACACACATTTATCCTAGCTCTGTCGTGTCACTGTCTGCTTAATAACTTGGTGCATGCCCAAGAAAGCAATTAGCAAAATAGAATTAGCTTAGTCTGTGGCTGTTAGCCTGGAGTTCAGTCTGTACTTAGGTTGCTGAGTTTGGGTACTTGCTAGAAATGTGTTTTGTAAGGTTTCTAAGTTAATTCTCTGTAAGGAGCATGGGCTGGGCCTTGCACAGAATCTCCCCAGCCCCAGCTTCTGTCTGAGACTGCCTCAGCTTCTAGCCTGACATGGCATGCATGTATCCATGGGTGTGTACTTTCCCTGTGCACGTGTGTGCCGCCGTGTAAACATCTGGCAGTACCTCTCCCACTGAGCACTGCAGATCTCAGCATTTCTCCAGCAAGGAGCTGGCTGTGTCTCTTCCGTGTGCGATTTGTCTGTTTCTTTAGATCTGATGTTCCCAGGAAAGTGCAATTTCGAGTAGAGCAACTAGGCTAGATAATCTTCAGCTTTAGGAGTTCTCCAAACAGTGAGACAGTATTAGAGAGGACACCGATGGTGAGTCCACCTCAGTCCAGACACCGTCTTCCTGGAGTGAGTGGCTCGGCAGCCTGTTCTGAAGCACCGTTATTTCTCATCCTTGCAGGAGGAGTCTGGGACTGAGGGCTGTGTATATCATATGAGAGAAGCAGACTTCGGGGATGAAGTGGATTTTCAATCACTTCCTGTGGGAAAAGGGAGTAGGTGTTTGGAATGACTTTAGAATTGAGACTGAGGTGGCATTTTCATAGCCATTGGTTTCCTACATATGTTATTTTTACATTTGCATTCGTCCCTTAAAATGTGTTGATAGCTAAAAAGCAAATGACCCATTGGCAATTTTTTTCTCCCTGGGGGAGGGAACCTAATAAATCTCTGCATGTATTCCTAAAATATTGGGGAAGAAGATAGAAGAAGGTAGCATGGATCAGAATCTCCAAAACTTTCCACATACTGAAGACCTAAAGCCATTTAGAAGGGGCCTTGATGGCTTTCTATTCCAATTGGCTCCCTGATTGCCTCCCTTCTCTCCTCCCAGCTTGGACTCTGAAAATCAAACACTTGATCACAATTAGTGTTTTGTACCTTGATCAAACTAAATACTCTGGTCATATAGACAAAACTGCTACCATAACAAGAATGTTTTTAAATATTTTTAAATCAATTTAATTAATTCTATCAAAGTGGAAACATCACTTTGTCTCAAAACAAATAACTTCTGCTTCACCCCCATCAACAGACTTAGGAATAGAAATCAAGAGTTTTGAATTTGAATTCATTGTGAATCTAATAAAGACAATTAAGAAGGAGAATAGCATCCTCCAAAATAACATCATGGAAGAGGCCTTGGGACATAGTGGAAAAGACATGAGTCAGATACCAAGCCAGCTGGCCCACTAAATTTAATTGCTGTGCACCCAATCTCTTCCGTAATTTGGAAGTAAGAAGCCCTTATCCCATGGAGGTTGAGAATGAAATGTGACAGACAACAGTCTTCCTGAAGCTCTGTAAATGACAGTCACTGTCTGGCTTTGGATATGATGTCCCATGTTTCCTGGGAGGTTCACATTTTCTTTATTCTACCATCTCCAAGCCCAAGCAGCTTCCTCAAACATATCTAGTTACCTTAACTCACAGTACCAAACTAGTAGTACTTAACTAGTAGTTATCCAAACTAGTTACTTTATTTAAAGTTCATCTAAGGAGAAAAGCATGTTAGAATGAGTCTAGGTTTGTTTTGCTTTTCACAAGGTGTGTGTTTCTTTTTAGCAACCCTCTTACTCTACTCTTGAGCCTGTTTATTTACAGCTACCAATGCCACCTTTTATTTAACTGGATAAGTGAAGAATGAATAATTTTTTACTATTATAAAGTATATACAAAATGGCCCCAACAATTTCCCTAAGAATAATTCTAAACCAACTTTAGGATGTGAAGTGGTGCTGGGCCTCTTGGGGGAAGAGTGCTATACACTGAAGACTTGAGTTGTCTCACTGCTGTTTTCCCACAACAGGAAGATGCTGGCTTGAGATCCAGCCTCTGTTGCATGCCGGCACGGTGATATTAGGTGTTAGCGCCTCTGGACCTTGGCTTCCAGGGGATGGCTTCAAAGAAATTCGGTTAAAATAACACAGAGGGGGCTTTGATAATGGTAATGATGATGGCAAACTGGCCTCCATGCACATTGAATTCAATGTGTTGTCCAAATACAAAATGATACTTTATATAGAAAGTAAATCCAGATTATGAGCTTCATAAATTAGTTCTTTTTTCCCCCCTCTTTCTCTGTTATTTAACCTATCAGATGAAGGCTTGTTTCTTCATACAGTAGTCAGAATGATTTGTTTAAAATATGGTGTCCTGGGGCTGATGAGATGGCTCAGCAGTTAGGAGCTCTAGTTGCTCTTGCAAAGGACCTAAGTTCAATTCCCAGCACCTACATGGCAGCTAACAGACATCTGTAGCTCTAGTTCCAGGATATCTGACCCCCTCTTGTGGCCTCCATAGGCACCAGGCATGCAAGTAATACATACACATACATGCAGGCAAAACACCCACACACATAAGAAATAAATAGGTGGGGAGGGGGAGGTTCCTATGGAGATCACCCTGTAGATAAAAGAAAAGTTGTTCTGTAAGCATGAAGGCCTGAGTTCAAGTCCTTAGCACCCATATAAAAAGTTGGACATGGCTGTGTACACCTGTAATCCCAGTGTTGAGAAATGAAGAGTTCACTGATTAGCCAGCCTACTCCAAATGGTGAGCTTCTGGTTCAGTGAGGGATCATCTCAAGGCAGTAGAGTGGAGAGTAATAGAAGAAAGTGCTGCCTCCAGTGCTGCTCTGGCCTCCACACACATGTGCATTCACATGCATGCATCCTATTAGATAGATAGATAGATAGATAGATAGATAGAGAGATAGATAGATAGAGAGATAGATAATAGATAGATAGATAGATATGCAGATAGATAGATATATGGTCTACTTTCCATCGTGTGCTCTCAAACGTATCTGTATTTAAAATCCTATTTGTTCTGCTGCCTGTTCAACCTCTCTCCCTGCTTGGCTTTAAGTGTCTCCATCTCACCTGGCCTCTGGCCACACAGTCCATCATTGGTTCCTTGACATTCTCCCTCCAACCACAGGCTTTCAGGAATCCGCTCTGCCATAAGGCACTGTTACGCCAGCCTTTCATCTCCAGTTCCAGCCTGGAAGCCATGCCTGACCCTCTGCTCATCATAGCTATTTAAGACTGTGTTTCTTCACTTCAGAGAACACACCTGGTTTGCCATGGTGAATAAATTGTGATGACATCTTTGTTACCCTGCTCCTCTCACTGACAGTGGTGTGGAAGCAAGCCCACATGTGACTGTGCTCCCTCCTGTACCTCCAGCACTGGGACAATACAAGGGCATGATAGACACTGGAGTGGAAGGATAACACACATGAGGCTATCATGTAGATGAAATGCCAAATCATGTGCATACCATCACAAAAAGCACCCCAACATAAACACACAAACATAACACAGCCCCCATATAAACACAAGGTGTCTTAGTCACTGCAGGTTGGGGATCTTCAAGTAGACATACTTTAAGAGACAGATTTCTCTGCAATGCTGTTTTTTTTTTAAAAAAATTCATGTTTATTGGTTTGTTTTTGTTTGGTTGAGCATGCATATGGAATCAACTCTCTCCTTCTACCATGTTGGTTCTGGGCATCAAACAGGTTGTCAGTCTTACAGATGCGCACCCTGTCAATTGAGCCATTGAGTTGGTCTTGTGGTTCTTTACCTTGAGATAAAAGGATGCAGTCAGAAACAAGGACAGTCAAATGATGCTACTGCAGGACAATGGTTTGAGAAGTCATAGTACTATCTTTGCATCTATGTGACTGATTACTTAAGGGATCCCTTAACTTCCTTTCCCTTGATAGGAGAGGGGTCATCCAGGATAGAACTATGGCTTCAGAACTGGGGAGACAACTAAATTACAGCTAAAAGAAACTATTCAAGGCAGCATACAGGGCAAACAGGAAGAAAAAGCCACAGGAATGGGTGGGCAGTGAAGCAAAAGGAGACTTGCTGGTATTTTTTGGAGGCTAATTTGGGAGCAGACATTGGAAGACCTTCTTTGGTTACTAACCAATCAGGGTGAGGTTCCTTGCCTTGCAAGTACCCCCTCTTCAGCACAAATTGTTCTTGTCCAGTTCCTGTGCACACCCTTACTCACCCTGGAAAACTGATCTAAAAGAAATCTTTCTTGGAAGACTTCTTCAAGGCTTCAGAGATGGTGGCCTGTGAGTCACACAAACCATAGTCACAAAGGAGAGAATCTCCAAGGAAGACAATCAACCACCAGGAAGCCTATGGATTCC